GAGCGAGCCCGTCATCCGCGTCAGCGACCACAGCAGCAGGGTGAGTCGCCGGTGGACCCGGGCCTGGGCTCTGGCTCCCTCCTGCCTGACCCACGGGCCGAGCTGCCGGACGTCTGCTCCAGGGCTGGGCGTGCGGAGTCAGCCCCTCCGCAGATCTCCCATCAGAGCCGGTCCCGTGGCGCCTCCTGGCCCCTCCTTGCTCGTGGTCATCACTCACTCCCTGGTGGCCGCGGTGCTCCCGGTTGCACGGAAGACACGCCACGCCTGGCCTTGGAGTGGTCCCCTTCCGACAGGGCAGGACAGGTTTCTGGCTGGAGGAGTCGCATCACCTGCCGCGTCTGCTGTTCCCAGATGCGCTTCTCGGGCCTGGCCTGGCACCCTGACGTGGCCACCCAGCTGGTGCTGAGCTCGGAAGACGACCGTCTCCCGGTGGTCCAGCTGTGGGACTTGCACGTCGCTTCCTCGCCCCTGCGGGTGCTGGAGAGCCACCGAAAGTAGCGCCTGGAGCCCCGTCTGTGTCCGATGGGGGGGGTGAATCCTCACCTGGGTCGCCAGACAGCCTTCCTGGCTTTGAAGCTGTCCCAGCAAGCACCCAGCTGCCCGGGACCAGCTCAGTCCTCACCAAGAGGCGCTGCGTGGAGCCTGAGGCCATGGAGAAGGGTGTGCGGATCCGTCTGATGGCAGGGGTGAGCCAGGCTCGAACTCGAGGGTGCTGCCCCTTCTTCAGGCGAGGAGACTCCTCCTCCAGGACGCTGCCGCCCAGACTGGAGTGCAGGGGCCGCTCCCGGCCACTGCAGCCTCGACCCGCTGGGCTCCAGCGATCCTTCCGCCTCAGCCTTCCGAGTAGCCGGAACTACAGGCGCGCGCTACCACACCTGGCTGATTTTTTGATTTATTGTAGAGTTGAGGTCTCGCTGCCCAGGCGGGTCTCGAACCCGCGGGCTCAGGCAATCCACTCACCTCAGCCTCCCAAAGGCGCGGGATTACAGGCTGAGCCACCGAGCCCGGCTTCAGGTCACCCTTTCTAACCAGTGGACGGAGCTGCCTGCATGGCTCCTTGGAGACTCTTGAGGGCTGGGTCCTCCGTGCCCTCCTGGGCGGAGCATGCCCCGGGGACCAGTGGGTGTGATTCCTACGGATTCATGACCCTGCTCTCTGAAAGGGCATCCCACAGACCACGGGAGGCAGGGAAGCAGCGTGGTGGGCGGGGCCTGGGGCTCGACTCAGGCTCTGGCCGGGCCACTGTCTGGAGCTCACTTACCTTCCCAAAGCCTCTTCTTCCTCGTCTGTAGAATGAGAGGAGACTGCCCGCTGGTGGGGACCAAGCCTCCCGAGACCCACGAGGCCCCCACTGGTGGGCATTCACGCGTGGCGTTCATGTGTGGCGTTCCTCTTTCCTCCCTCCCAGGAGGGTCTTGTCGGTGTCGTGGAGCTGGGCGGATCCTGACCTGCTGCTCAGCTGCGGCAAGGACGGCCAGATCTTGTGCAGCAGCCTGGGGAGCGGCGAGGTGGGCAGACCCGGGGCACTCTGGGAGGTGGGCAGCTCCGGGGCACGCTGGGACGGGAGGTGGGGTGGCGTGGCCGCCAGACACTGGCACGCCCCTCGCACAGGTGGTGTACGAGCTGCCCGCGCAGAGCAGCTGGTGCTTTGACGTGCAGTGGTGCCCCTGGGACCTGCCGGTGTTCTCCGCCACCTCTTGCGATGGCTGGATCAGCTTGTACTTGTACTCGGTGATGGGAAGAAGCTGGGAAGCCCAGCACGCGCAACAGGCTGCCCAGGTTCGGAGGGCTTGGTGGAGAGCGCCGGCAGGCGGGGGCCGCTGTGAGGGGGACGGATGGCCTGAGGAGAAGGGGGGCCGTCGGAGGCCGGGGGGCCGCTGGAGGCTGGGGACCGGGGCCCTGGGGGACAGGCAGGGCTGGCCTTTGCTCCCGCGCCTGTCTTCCCGAGGACGTCAGTTTCTGCCGGAGGGTGAGGAAGGCCCACGCCTTGGCTCCTAGGCCTCCGTGTTCCCCGTGATGTTTCGGGCTGGGACCGTGATTTCAGGAGCATGATCTGGCTTGTCTCCTTCCACCCGAGGTGGGCCCCACTCCACTGCGGGCCTGGAACGGAGCCTGGCAGAGTCTCCACGAGCCTCCCGCCCGGGGCCCGGCCCTGGCCCAGTCCCATCCGGGTCCTGGTGGTGTGGGAGTCGGCCCTCCTGGGTCAAATGCCGCAGGGCTTCCTCCCAAAGTGGAGTCGGTAGGTGGAGTCCCGCCAAGCTGCCGCTTCGGGCTGGTGAGGCCGGTGTCCTCTCCCCCAGGTCTCCTCCTCCTTCAGCCGGGGCCAGCCTCTCCCGCCACTGCAGGTGCCCGAGCAGGCGGCCCGAGTGCCGCGGATCCTGGCCCTGAAAAAGACCCCCAAGTGGCTCAGAAGGCCAGCGGGCGCCGTGTTTGCTGTAAGTGTGTGGGCGTGGGCGTGTCAGGAAGGCCAGCGACAGCTGGTTCCACTGGGGATTCACTCCCACTCGTCCGTGTCCCCTCGGTCCCGCTGCGTTCCAGCAGAGGCCTGGCGCGTCCCTCTCCCCGCAGCCCTTGACACCCTGGGACTGGGCGTCCTGTCTCGGGGGCTGGCGGCCTTCGACCTCCTGGCCGAGCACGCCCCTCCAGCGTCGTGCCTGTCCGTCCAGCGTGTACCCGGGCCCAGGTCCACGCGTTCCTTTCTGTCCCACGAGCACCTCCCGGCCCTGTCTGCCTGGACCCGTCCCTCCGCTTCTCTCCTGCCCAGGAAGCCTGTGCAGCCTTCCCAGACCCCTCCCTCAGGTGGCCTCCTCCCCACCCTCCTCAGCCCTAGTGAAAGGGCCCGCCCTCTCTGGTCCCACAGACTTTTTTTTTTTTTTGAGTTGGAGTCTCGCTCAGTCACCCAGACTGGAGT